CGCACACCTAGAAATTGCACAAGACCCAGACCCGGCTGACCCCACCCCCATCAAGCCCCACCAGGCAGGGGGCGCAGCCTCAGGTCCCCTGGCCCGGCGCCAGGCGGGGGGCACAGCTTCAGGTCCCCCGTCAAGCCCTGCTGGGTGGGGGGTGCAGCCTCAGGGCCCACATCAAGCCCCGCTGGGTGGGGGGCACAGCCTCAGGTCCGCTGTGGCGGGGGGCATGGCCTGAGGTCCCCTGGCCTGGGCCAGGGCGGGGGGCATGCTTTGAGGTCTCCCGTCAAGCTCTCCTGGGCAGGGGGCACAGCCTGAGGTCCCCCGTCAAGCCCCGCTGGGTTGGGGGGCACAGCATCAGGTCCCTGCTGATGGCTTGTTACAGGAACCCCACCTCCACTGTGGGCACAGCCATCTTGTGTTACGGGAACCCTGCTTCTGCTGTGGGCGCAGCCATCTTGTGATGGCGTGCTGGCATGAGGGTTAATTTGCATATTACCTCTTTATTATATAGGATATTGCATTTATTTACAATTATCTATGTCTAGATTTCCTTGCTCTTTGTTTCTTCCTCTCTGCTAGGAGAGTTTCCCCTCATCTCTGTATTTTAGGCCAAACCTAGGGTAGGGCTGTTGGGATGGAGAAGTTCATTTTTGGCTCTCACCCATTTACTGAATCAAGCATGGGATCTCCCTCCCCCATCATCTGGTCACAAAGACTCCCTGTTAACCAAGGAGGAGGTGCTGATGAAGAGTAGGTCTCAGGGGTCAAGACTGACTGGGTGGCTGAAGCAGCCATCTGAGGGCTCGTCACTCGATAGTAGCTGCCCCTGTGGCTGACTCATTGTTTAAGGAGAACCCATAGATTCCCGAGGGACCAAGAATGCATCAGGCTTTTTGCTTTGAGGGGTCTGGGGCACCAAACCTAAAGAAACATTAATGTCTTCATTGTCATGGACAGCAGCTACCTTTTAGGAGGTGTGTCCTCAGAAACCGATGTCCCTGTTACTGTGACATCAGATTCAGGCAAGCAATTCACATATCCTGGGTTATGGAAGTCAAGTCTTCCTTTAAGAAATCGTGTTTTGGGTGTGTTATGAGGATACAAGGAGTCATTTTGTGTTAGGGGAAGTCCCTTGGTGTGCTCGAGTCTGTGTCCCAACTACCTCGGACTCAGTGGTGATGACACAATTTGCAGATACCTTGTTCTTAAGCTTTTGAGGGTGGCAGCTGTATTCCTGGAAGTCATGACTATTGCTGATTTCACATAAAACTGCCTGTTTCCTGGCAGGTGTTAGGTATCTGCCCCCCTGAGTTAGAAGCTTAGATGATTCAGTGTTTCTGCCTTGCCTTGACCTTACCTGGAGAGCATGGGTAGATAGGTGTTCTTTCTTTGCTTCATTCTTCTCTCTTTGGAAAATTACATTCTAGGAAAGATTTTCGATGATCTCACCAGATCAAGTAAGTTCAAATAGGGCCATCTTAAGTCTGAAGAGTAGAAATGAAAGGCGGGGGATGTACATTTCAACTGGGCACTGAAAGAGGGATGGGTTGGTCCTTATTGCTTGTCCATGATTAAGTCTACAGCTTATCCAATCATCCACTGAAGGACATCTTGTGAACAAAACTGCTATACAGATTTTCATGCAGGTTTTTGTGTGGACGTATTTTGAAACCAGATGGGTAAATTTCCAGGGGTGTTATTATCAGATCTTATGGTAAAATTTAGCTCTGCAAGACCTTGAGTCAGTTTTGATAAGCTAGCTATTTTGAGGAATTTTTATATGTCATTAAATTTTTCACTAACTTATCCTCTTAGAAGTCTGTCAGCCCTCTCTGCCCAGACAACAGTCATCTACTTCCCCCTAGGACAGTGATGGAGAACCTATGACACGCGTGTCAGAGGTGACACGCGAACTCATTTTTTTGGTTGATTTTTCCTTGTTAAATGGCATTTAAATATATAAAATAAATATCAAAAATATAAGTCTTTGTTTTACTATGGTTGCAAATATCAAAAAATTTCTATATGTGACACGGCACCAGAGTTAAGTTAGGGTTTTTCAAAATGCTGACACGCCGAGCTCAAAAGGTTCGCCATCACTGCCCTAGGAAGTCCAAGGAGCTTTTTCTCCCTAGAATTTTTCACAATTTTTACCCAGGTTTCTTTATTTTCTTCTATGATTTTTTGTGGCAGGACCTAATAGCCCATGTACATTTCCTATCTCAGGAAGACTCTTATGAGGAGAAGTGTCTGATTCATTCAATTTCTTGCCTGACATCCTCAGTCTCACTAGTACATACTATACTGGATAAGTTCATATTTTTTATTAGCTCTTGAAATCACTCCCTTAAATATTCTGATACTAGTTAGGGAATACAGACAAACCTCAGATATATTGTGGGTTTGGTTCCAGACCACAATAAAGCAAATATTACAATAAACATCTGAGGGAACCACATAAGTGTGGTTCCATCTAGGAACCATTCGGTGATGACAATGTAGACACCTGGCCTCAAGGTGCTGAAATGATGGCTCTGTGCATGTATGGTCATGGTTAATGGTAATCTTGGCCCAAAGCCCTTCCTGACTGACAAGAAGTTCTGGGAACCTGGCCTATGAACTGAGGGGGTGTGCTGCTGAGTTGATTCAGTGATCCTTGACTTTCTATGCCTCATCTTCCTCTTTCTGTCCCTCTTCTTTCTCTTCTTCCTCCTTTTGCAATGATGAAACCAAGTCCTTGGAAAGCTTCCTGATTATTGACCAAGACATGGAAGCTGCAGCAACATTGCTTTAAAATGTTAATACACAAGAGTGAGTCTGCCCTACTGACTGCAGGTAGATTTCGTAAAGATATGGAAGGAGTAATCACAAATTGCACGGCCATCAGGTCTTCAGTGACTGATAGACACCAACTGGACAGATAAGTGAAGATAATGTGGCAGGTTGAGGGGTCTGGAGGCCTTAAGGAGGACAGACAATAAACAGAAAACGTATTTTAAAAATGACTGTCTTTAGAGACCTAAAACCTGTTTGTAGATTAAGAGAAAGCAAATACATATGATCAGCTTAAGTTCATAGTTTCACCTCGATTTCAGACTTTTAGTGTTCAGACCTAACTCCCTTCCTTAATGTCCTCTCAATCATTACATGTGATGGAGTGAGTGTTAAATGGTATTTTTATTTATATTTGCTTCTTGCAATTTAAAAACTGATAATTTATTTATGAAATAAAAGGCTTTATTTTCTGATAAGAAAATTGCAAGAATTTCTTGCAGTACCAGCAGGCTAGGGCTGTGTTGGTCAGATGGGTTGGGGAGATGCTGATCCCATAACAAGTGTGTTCCCACATTACACAGTAACATAAGGTCAGTGCTGTAACTTGATTCCTATCTTAGATTGGGCCTTCTCATCAGCCATAGTTCAAAACTAAATGTTTCAGTACCTGATGGGGCAGCAAGGAAAAGAGGATAGTTCAGGTCCAAGATCCAATAGAGAAACTGTGGAAGAACTTTTGAGAGCTTACTCTGAAAAAGCAGAAATCAAGCCTGTATCCAAGATTGGAGAACATACTAGGACTTTGTTTCCCAAACTCTAATTACTCCCATAAGGCCCAGTATATTTACACATCACAAGTATCATATAACATTCTTAATATTTTTACATTTAAAATCACTTTATATACCAACTTTTTGAATTTCTGGTTTTATTGATCATAGGAAATTATGTCCATAAAATGGCAGATGAAATATTCAAATTATGTATTTAATGCAGAATTAACATACTAGTAGACATACAGCCAATGTTTGAGTTACTCTGTTCCCATCTGAGGCCACCTCCCATAACACAAGCAGTATTCCTGCTTTTGGAGACGCTGTTAGGAATTGGGGACTGAAAAATTTTTCCTGTTGGCAGATGAAACATTTTCAAAAAGCTTTTTATAAATAACTTTAGTGCCTCTTTGTGTGGTCACCTCTCATTTGAGGCACAGAAGACCTCAGGACAGGGAGTGTGTGACCCTGAAAAGACCTTGGCTGGTACCTCATGCACTTCCTGATGGACGGGGAAAAGCTGAGGGCACATTTCTCAGGAGATTCAACTACCCCCCACTGGGTGGGCACCAGAACAGTGCACCCCGATAGCTAGTGTGTCGGTCTGTGTTGCCCATTAACCTGCGAACAAGGAAGGACTGCATCTTGTTCTCTACTGTAGGCAACATCTGAGGGAACCACATGGGTGTGGTTCAGCAAATAGACTTTAATGAATGTTTGTGATTTTTGTTCGCTTCTCTGCATTTTATTAAATGGTGATTAAGAGTTCCTTTAAAAAAAAAAGAGTTCAAATGTACAACCGTGAGGGAAGCTAGGAGGAAAAGTGCTGAGAGACTGATTCCCACTCTGAAATCTGCCAGAATATTTGAATTGCAATAGCTAAAGTGTGGTCCCGGGAGATTCCATGTGGCCAAGTTGGTACAGATTTATCAAGAACAAAGGAATTAGCTCTGTGTCCTCTATTTGCAGAACCAAAACAGTGCAAATCGAACCATGGAGGTCACATTTTACTGAATGTTCCTAGTGTCATTACGGGGAATCTACCGAGATGATCTGCAGCCTTACCTCAGCCCGTTTTAGAAGAAGAAAAGAGGACTTAGATCAGCAGGCCATAGGATCAAAGACAAATGCATTTAAGGACATTTTGGGTAAAGAGAAAAGCTTTTTTCAACCCAGCATGTACAACAAAATGACAACCAGCTGAAGTGGAACAGGGCAGAAGGTTTTATGACTCAAGGAAGGTGAAATATGGGAAAGGGTCATCTCCCCCAATCAAGAAAGAGAGCCTTTGAGCACCAGCTAGAGAATCCCCCAAGTTCTCCCACAGCCCTAAGTCACTGGCTGAGAGCTAAGCCAGGCCTCTGTGAGTCATGAGCACGGAGCCCAGTGAGAAGAGCCTGACCAGCTAGAGAATCCCCCAAGTTCTCCCACAGCCCTAAGTCCCTGGCTGAGAGCTAAGCCAGCGCCTCTGTGAGTCATGAGCATGGAGCCCAGTGAGAAGAGCCTAGAGATGATGCGTTCTGTTGTCAGCGTCCCTGTCAAGCCTGCATGGACGGATTTGCATTTTGGGTGGGAAATTATTGGACCAGTTCAGTTTAGGGCTCCACTTCCCCCTGGGTGGAGCGAGCACAGGCCCTATAAAGAGGCTGCCTGCCGTGCCACTGCCATCCTCCCAGCCGCGAGTTCTGATCTACGCTGAGAACACGGTGAGTCTCTTTCTAGAGTTCAGCTGTTTTTCTGGTGCTTTCAACTGTTGAATTTACCTAAAGACTGAATGTTTGGCATGTCCGAAATCATGATCATGGGTTTGATGCTACTTATTTGATGAAACCTTAGAATTGGGGTGCATTGATAGACTGTTTTCACTTGCTTTTAGGTAGTTTGATTTCCTGTACGAAAAACAAATTAATAGGAAAGCTTTGATGGAAAGGAGAGGAAAGTCAAAAACATTTGTTGTTGTTGTTGTTTTTTAATATGTATATTTTGGGGTCCCTTCCATTCTGGTGTGAATTCAAAGGCTCTTTGCCTTGTTCCCGAACAGCCCTTTGTTGTGTGCCTGCATCAGCCTATTGGGACCTCACAAGAGATAATGATGAGAGAAATTGCTCGTGAGGTTGCCCATGATATTAGAACTTGTGATGGGCTTTCATGAAGATGTTATTTTCACACAAAACATATGACTTTATTCTCTCAGCAATATTTTCTTTGGAAAAATGGTAAGCGGAAAGACAAGTCTTTCTCAGGGCTGATGAAACAATTTTATAAAGATGAAGGGAAAAGCTAGAGAGTCTCCATGTGAACTTAAGAGATAAAAGCACATTCTTGGAGATTGGAGAGATAAATCGCATGGTGTTATCTAAGTGTTGGGTTCTCTCTCTCTAGGAATGCCTTCTTGTGATCACTGTCATGTACTTTCATTCAGGTTTTAAGACTCCAGAAAGATGTCTTACCAGCAGCAGCAGTGCAAGCAGCCCTGCCAGCCACCTCCCGTGTGCCCACCTAAGTGCCCAGAGCCATGCCCACCTCCAAAGTGCCCTGAGCCATGCCCACCACCAAAGTGCCCTGAGCCATGCCCACCCCAAGTGCCCTG